ACAGGAAGGCAGTCTCAAAGGGGTGTGGTCATTTTGTAAACAATCACCAACATTTAAAAACAAATTAAAAAAAAAATCAAATTACTTCATACTTTACCTAAAAGCTCCTGTTTTCTCCCGAAATGTACTGCCATTCTGCCTATACCCATGAAGACACAAGATTCTAAGTGGTCTATTAGCACTTCTTTCTGTCATGGCTAATGCTGAAACTGAGATAAACACGTTAGTATCCTAATCTCTGGTGTCTGGGTGTGGCTTCCTGAATGACTAACTTTGTTCTTAGTATTACATATTCGGTATAAAAACATTTAATTGAGTTAATTTACTCACTTCAACTGACAGGGAATAATTTATTTTCAAATGGATTTCTTGCTTAAAACTGCATATGTGTTACTTCCAAGTACCCTTTCCCAAGAAACAACAAATGCAAGAAAATCGATTTAACAATATAAATTTATTGATCACACATTGCACAACGCTAAACCACAAAAATACGAACGTAAACCACTAAATCGCTTCCCTCCCTTTGTTTCTGGAAAAGACACCCCCATAATACGAAAAAAAAGAAACTTACTTGTATGATTATACCGCTAAGCGTTATTGATAAATATCCTCTGCTTTCTTACTTGCCCGACCACGTGCTTCGCGAAACAGCTGATCCGGAATTGTTTACATCCCGTCAGCTGTCAAGTTTTCAGTTGCCAGTTTGCTCTTACTTTACAGATTTACTTATTTACTTATTATATTTAAATATTTATTTTTATTTACTTATTTACTTTTTATTTACTTATTTACTTTTTATTTACTTATTTACTTAAATATTTACTTTTTTACTTACTTAAATATCTAATTATTTACTTAAATATTTACTTTTTTACTTACTTAAATATCTAATTTAATTAAATATTAACTTATTTACTTATTATATTTAAATATTTATATTTATTAACTTATTTACTTTTTATTAACTTATTTACTTAAATATTTACTTATTTACTTAAATATTTACTTATTTACTTATTATATTTAAATATTTATTCTTATTAACTTATTTACTTTTTATTAACTCATTTACTTAAATATTTACTTATTTACTTACCTAAATATTTACTTATTTACTTACTTAAATATTTAATTATATACTTACTTAAATATTTACTTATTTACTTAAATATTTACTTATTTACTTTAAATATTTACTTATAAATACTTACTATCCCCCCCTCATTATCACCATTTTACTATATTATTTATGGTATTATTTTGGTTATTCTTGTTTTTTTCTTTTTTTTTTTCTTTTGAATGGAGTATAACAGGAGTGGTTATACTCATCGTTTCTTAAAGATTGAACTAACGAAACTTGCTTAATATTTTGATAACTATTTTTTTTTTTTTTTTCAGAGGAAATTGTGGTCAGTTATGTTGAGTTGAATTTGGAATTTATCAAAATGAAAATTGGAGTCGAAGAAAACAGGGGATATTAAATTATGGAATAACTAGTGTTGATGCGAATGAATACGATTGCATTCATTAGTCAGTCTATTTGTCTAGAGAAAGAGAGAGGAGAAGAGAAGAGAAGAGAAGAGAAGAGAAGAGAAGAGAAGAGAAAAGAAGAGAAGAGAAGAGAAGAGAAGAGAAGAGAGAAGAGAAGAGAAGAGAAAAGAAGAGAAGAGAAGAGAAAAGAAGAGAAGAGAAGAGAAGAGAAAAGAAGAGAAGAGAAGAGAAGAGAAGATAGATAGATAAATAGGGAGAGAGATAGAGAATAATAATAATAATGACAGTAATAATAATGATAATTATAATAATTATATTGATAATGACAACAGCAACAACAACAAAACAACAACAATAATAATAACAATGATTATGATAATATGGATACCCTAATGAATTCAGTATGTATTTTAATGAGGACATAAAAAATTGGGTAAGTACGGGGTTTTAGTCATAAAATGAAGGTTGGTTTAAAATAAAAGTACCGAGATTCCACTAGGTGAGAGGATAAAAAAAATAAATAAATAAATAATAAATAAAATAAATAAAGATAAAAATAAAAAATAAGTACAGACAATTGGTACAAATACCTGAGTATTCTTGGAGCAGATGACACAAAAAAGTATCATTAATACAGTAAAAAAAAAAAAGAAGAAAAAAGTTATAACTACAATTATTTCCGAAGCTTTGTCGATTATACCGTTGGAATCACTGGATGGAACAAAAGAACCCCACAAAATTAACAGAAAAAACAAGGAAGTTAATGACATTGTTTGGTCTCTTTCAAACAAAAAAAAGGTGATGCTGGTATTTTATCCTCAAAAGAGCATGATTGATCACTTTAGAAGGTTGTGTTTCGATTGAAAAGAATTGCACTAGGTGAGAGGATAAAAAAAAAAAAAAAAAAAAAAAAAAAAAAAAAATCAGAATAGTACAGACAATTGGTACAAATATCTGAGTATTCTTGGAACAGATGACATAAAAAAAAGTATCATTAATACAGTAAAAAAAAAGAAGAAGAAAAAAGTTATAACTACAATTATTTCCGAAGCTTTGTCGATTATAACCGTTGGAATCACTGGATGGAACAAAAGAACCCCACAAAATTAACAGAAAAACAAGGAAGTTAATGACTTTGTTTAATATCTTCCAAACAAAAAAAATGATGCTGGTATTTCATCCTCAAAAGAGCATGATTGATCACTTTAGAAGGTTGTGTTTCGATTGAAAAGAATTGCCTTTATGTTTAAGTTTCCAAGAGTGCGAGAACTATACTAAAGCAGCAGAGAAGGAAGGAACTGTTGATTTTGGAGGGGCAAAGCAAAGTGTACGGGAAAAAAAAACTTGAAAGGCAAGGAGGTACATAGTGTATTTCTCTGATAAACTGGGTTTAGAGATAAGAAGACACGACGTCGGCTGAGAAAGGGATTTTTGAAAAAAAAAAAAAAAAAAAAAAAACGCCATCAGAACAAGGTCAATGACACAACACATTGACAAAGAGAACATCTTCCCCCTTTCGTATGCATTGGAGAAACAGACAGACAGACAGACAGATACAGACAAAAACAGAGACAGAGACTCAATCAAAGCCTTGATTAGACACAACAAAAGAAGTGGCGTACATGAAAAAAAGTGTCCATGATATTCATAGGCAGTCATATAAAGCCCCATGACCAGGAACACCCAAGAAAGTGGTGCGAGCGTGAATCACAAAGGACAGCCAAAATTCAAAAAACCAAAAATCCTTTAAGACACGAAGATACAAGTAGATAAAATCTGTGAATACTCTAGACCAGGCTTCGCAGTATTCCAGATGGAAAATAGATTTTGCAAGATAATAGACGTGGCGTGACTTTGCTCTCAAACACTCGAGTTGAAAAGGAAAGGGAGAGAATGGAACTGGAAAAAATAATGATAATCATGACAGTGATAATAGTAATAGTAGTCATGATAATAACGATAATTGTAATGATAATGATAATGAAGACAATAATGATAATGATAACGAAGACAACAATGATAATGATAACGAAGCAATATTAATAATTATAACGAAGACAATAATGATAATGATAACGAAGACAATAATGATTATGATGATAGTAATGATAATGATAACAGTAATAATGATAAGGACAATGAAGATGATAGCAATAATGATAATAGTAACGAAAAGATTAATGATTATAACAACAATTATGATGACTACCGCAATACTTATGAAAATAACAAGAACAATAATAACAATAACAAAGTGCTGATAATGATAATAACAGTGATAAGATTTATATGATATATAGTAATAATAGTGATAGTAATAATAACAATGATAATAGTAATAATGATAATGATAATGATGATGATTATGGTGATGATAATAATAATAGCAATGATAGTACAGACAATTGGTACAAATATCTGAGTATTCTTGGAGGAGATGACATAAAAAAGTATCATTAATACAGTAAAAAAAAAGAAGAAAAAAGTTATAACTACAATTATTTCCGAAGCTTTGTCGATTATAACCGTTGGAATCACTGGATGGAACAAAAGAACCCCACAAAATTAACAGAAAAACAAGGAAGTTAATGACTTTGTTTAATATCTTCCAAACAAAAAAAATGATGCTGGTATTTTATCCTCAAAAGAGCATGATTGATCACTTTAGAAGGTTGTGTTTCGATTGAAAAGAATTACCTTTATGATTAAGTTTCCAAGAGTGTGAGAACTATGCTAAAGCAGCAGAGAAGGAAGGAACTGTTGATTTTGGAGGGGCAAAGCAAAGTGTACGGGAAAAAAAAACTTGAAAGGCAAGGAGGTACATAGTGTATTTCTCTGATAAACTGGGTTTAGAGATAAGATGACACGACGTCGGCTAAGAAAGGGATTTTTGAAAAAAAAAAAAAAAAAAAAAAAAACGCCATCAGAACAAGGTCAATGACACAACACATTGACAAAGAGAACATCTCCCCCCTTTCGTATGCTTTGGAGAAACAGACAGACAGACACAGACAAAAACAGAGACAGAGGCTCAATCAAAGCCTTGATTAGACAACAAAAGAAGTGGCGACATGACAAAAGTGCCCATGATATTCATAGGCAGTCATATAAAGCCCCATGACCAGGAACACCCAAGAAAGTGGTGCGAGCGTGAATCACAAAGGACAGCCAAAATTCAAAAAGCCAAAAATCCTTTAAGACACGAAGATACAAGTAGATAAAATCTGTGAATACTCTAGACCAGGCTTCGCAGTATTCCAGATGGAAAATAGATTTTGCAAGATAATAGACGTGGCGTGACTTTGCTCTCAAACACTCGAGTTGAAAAGGAAAGGGAGAGAATGGAACTGGAAAGAATAATAATAATCATGACAGTGATAGTAGTAATAGTAGTCATGATAATAATGATAATGATAATGAAGACAATAATGATAATGATAACGAAGACAACAATGATAATGATAACGAAGCAATATTAGTATTAGTAATAGTCTAATAATAATGAT